GGATGACTTTTCACCGTACCACTGACCTTTCATTGGACCGAGCCGTTTCTGCGCTCTCAGCAAAGCTGTTTGAAGTCAACAATCAGTTCTGTTCAGGTAGTCAACTGCAGCTATTTCATCGAGCATTCTGCGTCCTGACCTGTTTGATTATCAATCTCAACTTGCTCTCTCTTCTTCTGCTCGCTCAAAAGTAAAAAGTCTTGTTGCGAAGCGGCAATTTGTTGGTTCTCATACCTCAGATTCTGACTCGTTGATACATCTCTTCCGCAATGCTCTCGATCTTTTGTTTTTCACCATAATGCAAATAGCTGCTCTCATGCACTCCAGCAATCCTTTTTTCATTTCATCTCATCATTCATATCCATCATTCTTCGCGCTAACTGCGAAGCCTTTTTGGAATCGAAGTTGTCATGCTCTTGAAGGTATCGGTATTGGTTTGCCATGTGAGTGGCTCCCTCTGGGTGGTAAGTCTCCTCTCCAAGTCTTGAATGCGAAAGGCGGTTCCTTCATCTTCTTGACAAAGTTCATTGATGATGACCCCGAGCTGATTGCAGTACACGCCAATTCTGTACATCTGTCTATCTGTGTAAAACCTGAGCTCTTCAAAGTTCGCTCTCGCGGCTTCATATTCATCCACTTCATACATCATCCTTGATGTTCTCAACTCGCTCAAAAGCTGCGCTTCTCTTGACGTCGTTGGTATGTTTTGTGATCGAGGAGGATGTGAGGATGCCGATGGCAATCCGTGGAGGCGACGAAGTCTCCTTAATGCTCCTCTTTGGCTGTCTCAAGTCTCCTCCGCTTGCAGCAAGTGCACTCCTTGGTGAACTTGATCTCGATGTATTTCTTGGCTTTGGTGTTCTCGTCGTCATTCTCTGGATAGGTCTTGAAGGCATAGGAGCATCTTCAATGGCTGGGTATCCAGACATCTGTGAACCTATAGGCATCGTAAGGATCATTTCGCCTTGACAATCAGCACTAGCAATCATTTGTGAATCAGGTGTGGGATGTCACATGGCACATGGTGCAGCAAAGGAAAATGCAGCTCCACTCATTTCATCTGTGCCCGACACGGAAAGTTAGCCGTCGAGGTTGGCTGAGCCAAGGATCTCTCTCCTTGATGTCCAGCTAGAATCGCAGCACGGCACGTAGCAGAACGCTACGGCTGATGACCTGCGAGTCGGCAAACGTGCGGGTCGACCATCAAAGCACATGCCTCTTTTGTATCCTTGAGCCAAAGCGAGCGTTTAGTGTATTTGACCTGTACATGTCTGCATGCCGATATGCTTCCTGTGCTACTCGCACGATCAGTATGGATCCACTTTACAGCAGCCCTTTTAACCACTTTACTGTGCTTTAACCGTTCAAGCCTACTAGTACCAAGCTTGGTTGGAGGTGGTGCAAGGGTTCCTGGTCCTGGTGGAGTCGCCATGGGCCACCAGGGATGGTGTTCATAATCATACCCCACCTGTGGCTTTGGAGTGGTGCCGGGCGCCGGTGTCGAACTCTTTGGATCGGCGTAGTGGCCGGCGGGTGGAGTTGGGACTTGGGACCTCACGCTAAAGATGGGCAGATGGACCCAGAGTGTTTCCAGCATAGAACATCTGCAGAAAACAACTATAGAAATTGGAATTTGCTCTTAGACATGTGCCAGGTCAATGTCCAAGACTATTGGATGAATGCTTAAGTCAAAATATGCTTAAGTTAAAATTAGCATGTTTTTCTGGTTTGCTTCGGCCGAGCTTTCAGGCTTTCTCCGACTATTTGAGTTTTCCACGGGGTATTTGAGAGTTGCAAGTGAAGGAATGGATCTTTAAAAAAAGCCGTCCGACACCAGCCGTCCAACAGGATCACAAGTTACCTTCGCCTCTCCGCGCTTCGCAACTTCTGCCCACATCACTCATCCCCCCCGTCGTCCGCGGAACAAAGCGCTCTTGGAACCAAGACGTAGACAACGGGGTAGACCACGCGCCGCCGTTTCGACGTCTAGTTCTAACCCCGGGCAACGGGTGATAAGAAACAAACCGGCAACGGTGCACGGAGAAGCGCCCGAAGCATCGCTGTGTGTTCACTGAAGCTGAACGAAGCGAACCTCACTGAACATCACATATCAAGTTTCCGGACGAGAATATGTGGAATGTCACCGTGAAGCCTACGGCTCACACGGTGCCATTCTGATTGATTATACTGTACTTGTGGAGGCAAAACCAGAAACTATGATAGGTGACGTCCAGTCCAGCTCAGATTCATACGTACAAATTCACTGCTGGTTTGTGCTTTTTGCCACTGACTTTCGCGTCGCCTGCACACCCCAGATCCAAATCCGCTAGGCAGACGAGTTTCCCGCGAAACTCTGCAGCCACCAATCCTGGTTCAGAGTGCACACTGCACCCTGTGTAGCAGGTGTATTCTAAAAGACATGGATGGTACGAGTAAGACGGGTGGGAGCATACTGGGAAACAGGTGTTGGTATGTTATATCTTCTTGGACCTCTGGTTGTTTCGCGCGGGAAAATGTGCTCATTTCCTTTCTTTGGACTTTGGACTTCCGACTAGGCTTCTGGGGATGAGCAGCTCATGTTTGGATCGGCATTTGTTGCTGGATGATACACTTTTTCATTAACCCACTAAGTAGTGCCAACCCAGACGTTCTGCTTTTTCTGCACGGGTTGAACCCTGCTTCTTTCTGCGCGCGCCGGGTCCACTCCTGCCGTCCACTCGCCGCTCTCGTCGCTGTCGGGGTCCAAGAGCTGCTGAAGCGGTCAGGGGCTGAAGAGGTTGCGGGAGCCTGGCAACTCTCAAAAAATGGGGCTTTCTCTACCAGTCCACCAGAGCTCTACACACAGGGCCGGAGATGAACATGGGCTCTCGAATATGAACATGGGGCTTTTCTCTACCAGTCCACCAGAAACGACTACTTCCGGTCTCCCGAACCCGTCCGCAGATTGAAATGGAGACTTCCAAGTGTAAGGTAGACTCGACTACCCAAGACTTGGGCTTATCTAGGCTGGCTTCGTCATGGCACCCAACCAAACCAAACCATGGTAGGTTGACACCCCGGGGTCAAACCAGGGTGCCCACGATTTGACCAGGGTGCCAGGGTGCCAGAGGTGGTGTGACGTGCGGTTCGCCTCCAAAGACGTCAGTGCTTCAGAGAAAGCTCCGGGGAGGGCTTCCTTTTGGTCGCCTCAAGAGTTTTCAAAAGTTCTCAGATCGATCATATTGGGTGTGTCAAGTGCTAGTGCTATGTGTTTTAGTCTAGTCACCCGAACCAGCCATGAAGCTGCAACACCTGTACATAACAATCTACATACATGGTGGTTGTCCAATAGTCTTGTTTATTGAAACGGCCATTCTTCGCGAAAAAAAAATTAACATTCGCGAAACTTTCGCGAACCTGTGTTTTTCTTTCGCCGGGGTTCACCATCTCTTGAAACCATTAAACTTTGTAGGGACTCGATTTCCAAATACAAGTGCACGGAGTGTTTTTGGTTCAGCAGGAGGATGCTACAGACAGGAAGCTGGTGTTGGAGCAGAATTTCGTTGGCACATGCTTTCCTACATGTCTATCCATGGTGCAGTGCTATCACTCAAGCCGAGGATGCCTATAGCTTCTTCGTGCGCTGTTCTACCATAATGAAAAAACAAGTGTTTCTTTAAGTTTGTGGGATTGCTATGGGCTACGGGGTTCCTCTGGAGCCGGTTCATTCGCCGAAACCTTCGCCAGACTTTCGCGAAACTTTCGCGAAATAATCCCTCTGCTTTGGAGGATTTTACGGCATACATAACATAGGGTTGACTACATGAAACAGGAAGGAAGCTTCACACGGATTCCAAATTTGAAGCTGCTGACGGTCAGGAAAGGATGGGCTACTTCTCAATCCAAAAAAAGGAACTGGAAGCCACAACTGCAAACATACAACTAAAAAGCATACTTTCGCGAATCTTTCGCGAAAAAAACATTCGCGAACTCGAAAAAAAAAAACTTTCGCGAGACCCACGATCATGTCATCCAAGGCTCTCGACATTAAAAAACCCTTACAAGGACCTTTTGGATAACTCCCACATACAATACTGTATATGACTAACCCGGGGTCTTCGTCACCACTTCGTAGAAAGTGAAGTCCACGACGGACGACTCCGACAACGACGGACGACTTCCCCTTGGTCCGCCTTGGCCTGGCGCCTCCTGAGCTCGGTGCGACGGGAAGAAACGGACGATGGGACGGTCGGTCCCCTCTGGAACGACCACACCCGGCCATGGAACTATACTACAGACTATACGAAGTCATTACTTAATATCTGTAGTTAGTAAAAGGCCCATCATGGCACAGACCAAAACAAAACAGACCACTATGGCTTAAGGATGGTTGGCCCTCTTTTCGTGGAGCGGTCCGTCCGTAAACGGACCGTCGACTCGTCGTTTGGGACTGAGACACAATTGGGCCTCCTACCCTACTAATGAGTGTCTTCCAGGAGTCACAAAGGGGTGGTGTTTGGTCCCCAAGTGAGTGGATAATGGGCACACCTAACCTCCATTAAGCACCCCTTTGTGACTGCTGGTTGTCTTGTCTATCTTAGCAATATATAACTGGGATAGCTCCGAAGCTCCTACAGTCTTTGGCCTCCTACCTAGTAGCTTCTTGCTACTATATCATGAGTAATGGCCTTTCTACCTACTAGCGATGGCCTCCTAGCTGCCAAGACAAGCCAAGACCAGGCAAACCCTTTGTCTAAGCTCTAACAGCGGTTTGCGGTTTGCCTTTGCTGTTTTTCACTGAACGCCAACTGCCAGACTGCCAGGCCCAACTCACAGCACCCATTCAGTGATTGGACCCTTCACTGCCAAAGAAATTCATGTAGACTCTTGATGTTTCTACACCCCCCCATTGAATTGGAACATCCTCTTAGATGTGAGGGGCTTATGAATCAAGCGTCTACATTAGACTCAAGGCACACTGATTGCTTTTGAGAAGTGTCTGGTCGACCCGCAGCTCTTTTCCACCGACCCACAAGTGCCTGCGAGTTTCCCGCAACTGTCAGATGGGTTTCTAGGTCCTCTAAGGCCCAAATGAGTCCGGGTTCGCGCTGCCCGTGCCCTCAGCGCTGCCATGGGAGGTTCAATGATGTGTTGAACACGTGCAACGTGCATCATCAAATCCCCAATTTCGCCAGGAGGTCCAGGCGAAATTGGCGCGCCAAGTTCGCCTCCTCTGCGAAGTTCTCAATAGTTCTGCGTCTTCCACGCAGAACGCCACTTGTCATTCCAACCTACCCAAGGCGTTTGACCAACTTCCCCATGTTGCTGGAAGGGTCGGTGGCCTCGGTACTTGTAAGAGTAGGCTTGCTGGATCACCTGGCCGGCGGGCAAGGGGGGAGGGTTCAGCTCCATGGAGATCACCGCGTCATAGGTGAGCCTCAAACTGGTCTGCCACTGCCCGGTGCCCAACAGGAACTCAAAGGTGACTAGATCATCCAGATCCACCTCCCAGCTCTCATCAGCCTCATCCTCGTCCTCCTCTGCTTCGGCTTCTTTCATGATGACATCGTTGGAAGGCTCACAGAACCTGCACAGAAGCGCGCTCAAGGCCTCCGCACACACAGCTACCAGGCCCATACAGGCGCAGGCCGCGGGGATCACGAGGCCCGAGCCTGGCAGTACGCTGTCAAGCTCAAGCATGCTGCACCAGCCACCGATGAACCCCCAGGGGCAGGAAGGCCACCAAGTCTTCAGTGCTCAACTCCATGTCGCAGCAGTTCATCTCCTTCAGCACCTGGAAAAAGCTGCCGCCCAGCACTACTCGCTTGGCGATCGCCTCCAAGTCTCCGGTGCTGGCCCGTGACTGTTGGCAGGCCTCCAAGAGCTTGTCCGAGTTTTGCAGCAGCAAGCACACGCAAATCCGCCGCAGATCTCGAAAAGGGTCGCTCTCGTCCACTTTCACCTTGAAGAGCATCTGAATGAGTCTCTGAAAGTTGCCCATGTGCTTCCAATCGGGATCCCAACCAAAGCAGAAGAAACTCCGCAACCACTGATCTACGATCTTCAAGAGACTTTCCTCAAAGCCTCGTTGTCTCAGGGCAGCAAAGGTGACTGGGCAAAAATGTCGGTAGCTCCTCAGCACCTGACAGGCCTGCTCCTGACTGCGTTGCTTCCCATGAGTTTCGTCGTCAATCTCGGGCCGCAGCAAGCGCTTCCAATAGAATTTCTCCAATATGCGGATCAGCAATGCATAGGTCTTCATCTCTGACTCCGTCATGGCCAACAAATTTGAAGAGAAAATGGTCAGATCCTTGTCATAATCAAGGAACTTGTACTTCTTATAGAGTGCGAGGTGTACCCGTCGAAGTTGATGGCGAGCACCGGTGAAGGCGTAGTTGGGATGCTTCAGCTGAAAGTGGTGAGCTTCGCCTCCATAGACCTGGCCAATGGGGCCATCCAACGCCAGGGCGCGACCGAGGGTAATTTCCACTGGTACCACGTGAGGGCCTACTCGGTCTCGCTTGTAGTCTTTGCAGGCATCATGAAAACAGGGGACCAAATCTGCCCAGCAAAACTCGTGAGTCACGTGAGTCATCTACTTGTCCTCCTTTCTAACTTGCGACGGTATCGATGAACTTGACAGAGTAGCCCTCCACTGTGCAAGCCATGTTGCCAGGTGCGGGCGCAGCTGTGTCTTCAGATTGATTGTTCCCAGAGGACGTGTGTGGTGAGGTGTCTCAAAGCACAAAGACCTATAGGCCCTAGGCTATTGAGCTTAGTAAACTAACTGTTCTGTCGAATCCCAACACGACAACAACTATTATACCAACGCGAGCTAGAGTTTGAGCACGAGTTGGCTGAGATGGTGGAGCCCATCACCTTTCTGTCTGAATTGAAACCTTCATTTTCCATGGAGCGTGAACCTCCTCAATGCGCATTCGCTGTTCAGAATCATCACCGGTTGCCGGTTGCTAACGAACCCATGGGGCTTGCCATGTACATAAACCAGGTCTGCGGAACCCGGCCTCAAGACAAGGATCCAAAGCCACCTGTGGGGTTGCACAGATGTGTATTGTATTGCAACTTCAGATCATTAAGACTAAGACTAAGACCACTTCTTTTGCTAAGACCAAACCAAAATGCTTCAGGAATTGGCCCACCAATGCTCCACAAGGATCCGCAAATTGTGTATCCGCCATAACCGTTTTACAGCACCTGGGGAACCCCCCAAGACCTGGGAACAGCACTCGAGTCTTTGCGCAGCGAAGCTGCGAGGGGATCAGCGCTGAGGCAAAGGGGAAAAGGCTGGGAAGCCGAGTCTTTGCCCTCCATATCCCTCCATGTCTTCGGTCCTGACCCCCATGCGATCTGGGCCGATCTGGGCGAGGCGGCGAGGTGGTGCTTCTGGCAGAAGTAGCCCTGGCACAGGTCACAATGCATGCTGAATGCTGGGTGACATGGACCCAGAAGTGATGTTGAGATCTGACTTTCTTGTCATCCAGAAAGCATACACATGAAAGACCTCATTCCTACCCCAACCTCATCCTCTTTTCATCTAAAGACTGGCTTTTGTGAACCGCCAAGAAGGACCCATCCGCGGAAAAAAACCACCCACGATCGCCCCATCGAACACAACGGAACTCAGGTCGGAGAGGCTTCCGGAAGAACCAACACCCTCTCTTCGCAGAAATCACACCCGCGTCCCCGTGTTCTTTTTCGGGTTTGACCCCGACCCGTGCGCTCATTGGCCGTAGGCCATCGCCCTTCTTTTCGGTATGTCGATCCAAAAGAAGTGGGTCTCGCACGCGAAGGCGGGGCGCAGGCGGCGTCGGCGTCGGGTCTGAGCGGAAGGGTCTCCAGTTGAAGCAGTGGATGAATGATCTACTGATTGTTACATTCTATCTTGACCTTTTTGCTCTTTCATGACGTACTGTTACAACAAGAACAAGAACAACAACAACTACTACAACTACAACTACAACTACTACTACTACTACTACCACTACGACTACTACTACTACTACTATTGCTACTCCTACTCCTACTCCTACTACTACTACTACTACTACTACTACTACTCCTGCTGCTGCTGCTGCTACTACTACCACTACCACCACCACTACTACTCTACTACTCCTACGGCTACTTTGTATCTTGAAATGTGTCCAGCCTGTGGATTGAAATGCAAGATCTAGATAGATCAACTACTTGTGGTGCCTTTGGCGAACACGTAGATGCCGAATATTTGGGTGTCCCGGTGCTAGCGCTGGGCCAAGGGCCCATGTCATGGCCGTGCCAGTCAGCTCAGTGCCTCCCGCCACACGTCTGGGTATCGGATATCACATGGATGCCTAGATGAACTGAACTGACTCATGCAGCACCCACACGATGACCTCCAAAACTCCTTCTGGCACCACCAAGCAGCATCGCATCCCGAGATGCCTTGCGCATCCACTGCCAGCTGCTTCGCGTCGCGGCTGCGGGCACCACGGGGGTGTACCCTACCCTGAATGAGCTTCCAAGCTTGCCAAGAGAGGTTAAGTGACCTTATAGGACCCTACTGGGGTACCTATGGGATAGTCTATAGGGTCACTCAACCTGTGTTGGAGTGCAAAAGAAACCGCTCTGTTCCCGGCTCTCTAGGCACCGTCGAAGCCGCTTGCTTCACCTGGATAGCCCCTGAGATGCGCACGCGCGCCCGCAAGAGAGGGGGCGCCATGTGCTTCGGAAGCCTGTCCTTCAGAGGTGGGGAAAAGGACCCGAAACCGTGGCCCGATGGAGCCCGTTGGCCCCGAAACGCCACGAACTCTTTGGTCTGTGGCAAATGGACTCCGATCGTCCTTCGAACTACCCAACTGGTCAGCTCGCTGAAGCTAAGTCCTAGTGTCTCCCGGGCCAGCTGGCTGGCCGGGCCGGCCCCGCGTTCGGAGCCCGGTGGAGCTCCTGGAGACGTGGATGGGCGCGGAGGGGCGCGAGTGTGGTGCGTGCTGCGACGTTCCTGGGACACGACCGGGTGTTCACCGCCACGTGAACAGCTCCACCCGTCGAGAACCGCCACGTCCACCGCCCCCCACCGCCCCCGCCCCAGCGGGCCGGCGTCGCCGTCAGACGAAGGTCTGATGCAACATCACCGCCCCCTCGGGCCTCGGGTCGAGCCCGAGAGCGTCGGACGGCAGCGTCCCGTGCCCGTCGGGGGGGGCATCTTCCCTCCACCAAAAACCCTCTCCGGCAGGACAGATCACTACAGATCCATAGGGTTGGACCCTCCGGGCCAATTGCCTGGGAGGGTCTTCCCCCCCTGGGAGCTTCGTCGGAACGCCACACCTGGGAGGGTCTCCCGCCTTAGACACAGCGACCTGGTCACCCACGGACCTTCCATCCCATCACCTGGACCTTCGGGTGGTGATTGAGTGGTGAACGAAAGAAACACGAAGGACTGACTGGTGCTTAGCAGGGAATGAGGGAATGGATGGAATAGAATCTCTATTGGGGGCTCATTCCCTTATTCCCTACTAAGCACCAGTCAGAGGATGCTGGGACTTGGAAGACACCTGATGGTCCAGATGGTTCTTCGGGTGGTGATTGGCTGTTTCGCCTTGTCTTCACCTTCCCCAAGTTTCGGGTGGTGAAGACACCTGACGGATCCTGACGGTTCTTAGCATCCTTTCGTACTGAGCGAGTAGCTCTCCGTGTTTCTTTCAACAAAAATGCCCGGCGGGGAAAGGGTATCCACAAAAAAACCGTCTGGCAGGAGGTTGTGTGAAACAACAGAGCGTGTGAGGCATTTTGGGAATGCCCAATCTGCTACATACTTGGCAATGGCATCTTGATTCATTAAAAACACATGTCTTGAATCGATTCTTCCTGTTTGTGAGTTCTGGTCCAAAATTGGACCCTGGCTTCACACCTTTGTTTCGGGGGAGGTTCCCTCTAGACTCTAAACCCTCAAAACAAAGGCCAGTACTTCACCATGGCCCAAGCCCAGTTCCAGTCCCATGAACAACATTCACACAAAACCCAGACGCCAAACCTGTCCGGGACTGCCACTGTTCAACATGCCGCCCCACTCGTCGACAGACCCCTCTTCCACGGCCTGATCTGCACATCTACCAGTCCCATGGAGGGGTCTGGCCAATGGTAGACACTCAACAATTTGATAGCAAAACCGGAGCTACCACGCCCAACAGAGTTGTGGGTGGGGTGCAGTTGCCGCAGCCCCACTTTTGGGGCGCCCCAAACGGCCAACAAGGACTCACACCTCTGTTTTTGGCCGCGTTCGATGCAAAAGAAGCAAAAACCATCAAAACCACAAACGTGACGGAGTCAGATACTCCGTGGATTGGGTCGGGGGATACTCCATGACACATGGCCCCTCCAGACAGGCGGTGGTTGGACTGCCACAAAGACATACAAAGACTCCATGCCAAACTCTGACCAACCAGACCACCTCCCCCATCCTCTCAAGCACCCAAACCGCAAGCACCCGACCACCAGCGTCTTTCCCGAAAAAGCTGACGGCCCCAGCGCAGGAGCATCCTTGACACGGGCGGACACGACACGGGCGGGGTGAAGATTTCTTCATCAAGCCCAGGAAGATCCATGTTTCACCAGTTTCAAACATCGTAACATGGGTTTCGACCGGCGTTTTCTGAATCACCAAGAAAACACCACTGGTCGAAACCGTCAATCACCACCGCTTCATGCAGTTCCGGTGGACCGCTCGCTGGACCGGAGCAAAACCCGGACGGGACTGGTCCGAAAGCATTCCACCCGCAGACCATGGAGACCAGGGTGACCGTTGTTCTGTTAAAGGGTTTCTTTCTGTTAACAACATTTTTGGATGGGGGTAGAACAGAACCATTTAACAGAACCATGGATCCATAGATGGGGTTGTGTAAGTTGTTCTGTAAAACGCCTCCTTTTGGTCAAACAACTTAGAAGGCTCGGTGTCACCCATGGACAAGCCTACACCACTTACAGGGTCTGGATGGGACACCCTAGGTATGAGGTCCCTCATTTCTTGTGGCAGCCAGTTGAAAAAAAAAATAGAAAACAAAACAGTCGCTGGGCAAGCTGGGCACGTCCAACACCTGTCCAACGTCCGGTGTAAAATGGATTGAACATCTCTCCAAGCGGCCTCGAACATGTTCAGCACCGCTTTCATGTCTGGACCATCTGGCATCAACCGCTCGTCATAGACCACCACCACAATCTGCGGCGGAAGAGTCAGCAGGCAGAGCACGGAAGTGGGTGGGTGGAGCACTTCCCGATTCGCCGAAGAAAGATTCCATGCATGTAATACCATGGCCTTTTTGTGTGGAAGAGATGGTTGTTCCCTTTGCTGTGCTCAAAACATGTACGACAGGAGCGAGGACTCGTCCAAGTTCGAGAGTCGGTCGGACGTCCAGAATACCAAGAAGACATGAGAACAAATGAAGAATACCATCATCTCCCAATGAACTCCCAACAGGCGGAGGCCATGGGTCCGACCTTCTCTGCCTCTTCAGTTGCGGTGACAGGGCGGGAGGCCATCTTTCAACTCCAACGATCGCGTCTGACCGGACGGAGCCGAGCGCAAAACGACTCACTCTTCTCATCTGCCCAGTGGGCTTCTCATCGGTCCGAAAAACAAGTTGATCTGGAGGATGGACAATTCCAGTGGCATTTCAGTGAAATTGCAGGAGGATGTCCACCGCAGCCTAGCTAGAAACTGGGTCCCACTTTA